AAAGCAAGAAACAGCATTGACCGGTTAGTTATTTGGTCTTGCTACCAGGTTTTTTTTTTCCCTAATTGAATGTGCCCTGCCTGCATTAAGACACTAATTTACAACTAAGGTTTTCTTGACCGTTGGAATTGCTTTCTTGTGGCAGCTTGATGAAATCAGTTGGATTGTACAAAGTTGGTTGTTTCAGGCCTACAGCATGATAGGAAATTAAGGTTGTACTATTTTGCTGAACTTTATTATATTTGATTGGTTATTGGGGTTACTCGGGTGAAATTATGCATCTCAATCATTGCCATTTAAGTTAATAAAACCCATTTTCTCTCCCTTTTCCTACAAGTTTCTTGTGATCGATTTTTCTTACAATTGGGAACCACCTTTTTATATTAGTATATTTCTTTCTTTTTCCTCTTGCAAGTCTGCTTAAGTAAACAATTTTCACAAAGATCTATCAATGTGATGTCAAAATGGTATTAATTGAAATCATTTGGAGGAAAATTATCGTTAACCTTAATTTAATGCTAGATATGCTCTCTCTAACTCTCTTCTTTGAATGCGTTCCTTTAGATTTGGTTATTAGACACATAACTGTAATATGAATGGTGATAGACAATAGATGAAGCTTAACATATTTAGAAATATTAACAGCGTCACATCCCTTAGCACTGCTCTCAGAGGTAATGGATCATTTTGAATGTTCTGCATTTTTATGTGGCACCGGAGGGAGAATTCTGAACTGGCAGCTGTCCAAAAACCTCTAATTTGCCCTTTATTAAGCATTGCTAAGATTTTATGAGGCAAACAGCAAATCTTTATTTTGAGCCCTTAAAAATTTATGTGTTCCCAATTTAAGTCCCTATACCATTATGGATCAATTAATTTCTTAAACAATTCAATTTTATCAAATAAGACTGGAGCTGATTATTTTAAGATTGAAATTGAAATTATACCATGTATTATCCTATTTTTAGGATCTTGTGTTCAACAAGGAGCAATTCTCTCTCCTTTTTAATTTAGTTCACCACTATGTTATGTGATGCAAATTTAAGATCTTGTAGTACAATAATTCATTCTTTGTATCAAATATGATATGTAACGATAACTATCTCATTTCCCAATGCATTCATTATCTATATTTTAATTTAAAATTTCAAACTCTTATTAATCAACAAAGGTTTTTTGATACTTTATTATCATTGCTATTGCTCAATTTAGTTGTTTATTAGTGTTAGACATATGACTATTTTCATTAAAGATTTAAATACCTCTCTCTCTCTCTTCTTCTTCTTCTTCTTCTTTTTTTTTTTTTTTACATTTTAAATCTTTTTATCAATTTAAATATTGTTTAATTAGTTAAAATTTTATTTTTTTAATCTTCAATACATCATAGTATTTATTCATATTAGAAACTCAATAAGTACACCCCAACTTAAAATTGAATCAACAAGTTAACAATAAAATATGGAATAATGCACAACTTGGGCTAGATTGCTGCATTTTTACACTAGCACAAGGGACACCTTATTATCATCCCCACTTCACATGGAAAAAATATAATTATGTTAAAATTTGGCCTAGTTTGATTAAATCGAGAAGTATAAGGGTTCAATTAATCAAAGGAAACGCTTGAGGGCCAAAATTATACCAGTAAGCCGAACCCCTCAAAAATTTGAAAACTATGAATCGCCCCCTTCCGAACAGGGCGAAGTAAAATGAAGAAGAAAAACGACATAAAAAAAATTCTGAAACTGAAATTCACAGGATAAGCGAAGTAAGGTTTAAGGAGGGTTTAAAGGCGGCCATTCCTTCCTCTATGAATTCTATCTCCTGAACAAATATCTCCACCATCTCAAAATCTGCCTGTCTCAACTTGTTTCCCTTGATTACATTCTTTCAAAGTCTCAAATTCCTGACACTTTGATGTTCAGCAGCAAAAACCCACCTATTTCTGCCGATCATTTGATTCCCTTTGATAAACCCATAATACCTTTCCAAAATCCTCCAAGGATTTCCACCGTTATGTGGAGAAGGATAGCCAGGCAAACAATTTCAAGAGCTTCCTTTTGGCCCCCATTTAGTTCTAAATGCTTTGCGCGTACCTATGGCTTTCTGGGTCTCTCTAAAGATTCCGTTTTGCCAGAGAAATTCATGGTTCGGTTGGATGAACTTGGTTCTCGCTCGAATTCGAGGTTTCTTTATATGGGTAGTCTAAGAATTGGTGAGATTTTGGCACATGACGATTGTATTGGGAAACCAGACTTTGGGTTCTGCAATGGGTTATGCCCAAGAGGGTATGCGAGTGTGGCAGAGGCAATTCCGTCCACTGATATTGAAGAAGAGGTGTCTATTGTTGATGAAGTTCAAGAATTGTTGCAGGAAATGAGGAAAGAGGAGAGGAAAGTGGCTAGTTTTAACCGCAGAAGACAGCAAACTGAAGTGGATGGGATGGGGCCAGGTAAGTACCGATATTTAAGGAGAAGGCAAGTGAAGATTGAAACTGAGGCGTGGGAAAGAGCAGCAAATGAATACAGGGAGCTCTTGGTGGATATGTGTAAGCAAAAATTGGCACCAAATTTGCCGTACATGAAGTCATTATTTCTTGGTTGGTTTGAGCCTTTGCGTGATGCAATTGATAAGGAGCAAGAATTGTGTAGGTTAGGGAAGCATAAGACAACATATGGCCCCTGTTTTGAACAGTTGCCAGCTGATATGATGGCAGTTATTACAATGCATAAGTTGATGGGGCTGTTGATGACCGGAGTAGAATCTGGGTGTGCCCGAGTTGTGGCAGCTGCTTGCACAATTGGTGATGCCATTGAGCAGGAGGTCAGTGATTTTTGATGTCTCTCTCCAATTAGCCTTTTGATTTGAAATTTAGGTAGATATTGTGGTTCATTTTATAGAAACACTAGCTTTTCATGCGAGCTGGAATAACAAACTTAAGAGAAAGCTGGAAGGGTGAGCTCATAATAGTTCAATCAATGCTGATTGTGTTAGAGTTTGTATCTAATTTATAAATATTAGTGCATTTGATATTAGTAAATAATAAACCTTTATTGATATGAATTTAAACTTTTAGGGTCTTGGTTGGTTTAAAAGGTTCATATAAAATTGGCAGTTTGGGTTTCATGTAATTTCATTGTTTTGTCTGATAATTCTGGCATATGCTTTTAAAATTTTAGTCAGCTAAATGATTTTGTGGCTTCTATTTGCATCTGTGAATAAGTAAGAAAAAGAGAAGAGGAATAACATTATTTTAAGGTGCAAAGCTTGCATGGTTAGGTTGAGTCTTGTTTAATGGCCTTGTATTTTTATGGACTTTAACATACAATCTGTTCTCTATTTCACATCAATTAAGATGTTAGGCATGCCATCTTTTTTGTTTGGTATCACTCATGAATATGTTGAGTATAATGAAAGAAAATACTTATCTCTGTTTTCTAAAATGCAGTTGCAGTGAAACAATACCAGGCTTTATTCTATTATTATCTCTTGTGATGTTGAATTCTTGTAACTGGGACTGAATTGTTCTATTGCTGCTTAGGTTTTGTGAAATTGGACTCAATTTGCTTCTTTATGACTGTGCTTCTTTTCTGTTTATTTCATCCTTACTTGATTAAAACTGAATAAAACATTGTTCCTTAGCTTTGTCATTATCAATCCATGGGCTTTAGCCTCCCCTTACTTGAATAGGGTATTCATTCTTAAATATTTTTGTCACTTTAGGTTAGAATACACAAATTCTTGGAGAAAACCAAAAGGAAAAAGGTTGGTACAAGAAACAGAGAGGAAGAAGGTGAAGTTGAATCTGATGCTGTATTAAAGGAGGAAGAGAAGTTAAGGAAAAAGGTAACAGCATTGATAAAGAAACAAAAGTTGCCAGCAGTTAGGCAGATAGTGACTGAACAAGATGATTCAAGACCTTGGAGCCAGGAAGCCAAGGCTAAGGTTTGTATGATCTCTTGTAATCACTAAGAAAACCTTGTTTATTCATTGTCATGTACTTTGTGAAAATATGATGGAATTTATTTTTTCCAGGTTGGAAGCCGTTTGATTGAGTTATTAACGCAAACAGCTTATATACAGCCTCCAGTTGATCAGTTAGATGGTGGTCCACCTGATATTCGACCTGCATTTATACACACATTCAGAACTGTGATGAAAGAAAATAAGTGAGGACTAATTTCTGTCTTTTGGTTGGCTAAATCTTTCTTACAATTGATTGGTTCAAATTTTGGCCTCTTTATTTTTAATTCAACAGGAAGACTGGCAGAAGATATGGTGTCATTCAATGTGACCAACTAGTTCTCAAAGGTTTAGAGAGAACTGTGAGTAAATATTTTGATCATCTTTTCAGTGAAACATATTTTCATTGTTCAATCTGTTATTGGGGTTAAAATTTTGCAGTTGTAAACTGGTTTCTAGAATATTAGAGTTATTAAATCCATGTACCTCTTATGGGGCAGTCTAGATGCTGCCATGTCTCATATTTGTACATTGGTGTAGCTTGAGTTATTTTCACCTCATTTACTTCTTTAAGGAACCATTAAAAATTTAAAATTTGTTCTTTCTTCACACAGGCAAGGCACATGGTGATTCCTTACATGCCAATGTTGGTTCCCCCAGTCAAGTGGACAGGGTATGATATTTTCAGGACATTAACAATGTTTCTCATTTTTCTTCTCTTGATATGTTGATTATATGTTTTAGAGTTAGGTTCAAGTTCCAGTGGATAAAGTTAAATATATGTTACTAAATAATCTAAGCCATCAATAAATCATAGCATTGAGAACTTGAAATGATACAAGTTTTTAAAAGAGCATGTTGTAATACTTGTTTCTAATTCCTTGTCAATTATGCAGCGTCATGTTTATTCTTTTGTTCTTTGCAGTTATGATAAAGGAGCACACTTGTTTTTACCGTCCTATGTCATGCGAACACATGGAGCCAAGCAACAACGTGAAGCAGTTAAAAGGGCCCCTAGGAGTGAACTAGAACCAGTCTTTGAGGTCTTTCCCTTCCCCTTCTTCTTCTTCTTCTTCTTCTTCTTCTTCCTTCCCTAGAATTGTTGCATTGTTTTTTATACAGTATGTTGTAACTCCTCATGATATTCAGCCATGGGAATTGGTGGTGGTATGTGGCATTAGGGGGATGGGTTGTAGGTCTTGTTTTCACTTGTTTATCTTGTTTGTTTAAGGGTGCTGATGATTTTGTAACTGTTGCCTAGGCCCTGGACACGCTGGGAATTACCAAATGGAGAGTAAACAAGAGGGTTCTTAATATTGTGGATAGAATATGGAGTAGTGGAGGCCGTCTTGCTGATTTGGTGGACCGCAATGATGTGAGTTATTTTACTGAGATAACTACTTAAGTCTTGTTGTTAGTTAGCTTTTTTCCTTGACAGCAAGTTGTGGTTGTTATATCCCCATTATCTGGTAGGTTCCTTTACCAGATATGCCAGATACCGAAGATGAAGCATTGCTGAGGAAATGGAAGTGGAAAGTCAGATCTGCAAAAAAGGAGAATAGAGAGAGACATTCACAGCGCTGTGACACGGAGCTTAAACTTGCAGTAAGATGCATTTCACTTTGTGAATGACAGCAAGCTTATTATTTTCCTAAACTGGGCTTATCATCTTTTCCTTATAACTGGGATCAGGTAGCTCGTAAAATGAAAGATGAAGAAGGTTTTTATTATCCTCACAATCTTGATTTTAGAGGGCGTGCCTACCCTATGCACCCGTACTTAAATCATCTAGGTTCAGATTTGTGTCGGGGTATTTTAGAGTTTGCAGGGGGATGCCCTCTTGGGAAGTCGGGATTACACTGGTTGAAGATCCACCTTGCAAATCTATATGCTGGAGGCGTCGACAAATTGTCTCATGAGGGTCGAGTAGCTTTTACAGAGAATCATCTTGATGATATATTTGATTCTGCGGACAAACCCCTTGAAGGAAGGCGTTGGTGGTTAAAGGCAGAAGATCCATTTCAGTGCTTAGCTGTGTGTATTGATCTTGCTGAAGCTTTGAGGAGCCCATCTCCAGAGGCATTTGTTTCACATATTCCAGTGCATCAGGTACCTTCCTTCTAATGTCACAGGATCATGCTCTCTTTTTTATGTTCTGTCAGAACATTTTTCCTGGGTGGTATAGTCTTAATGAAATTTCTCTTGGATGTGGTGATAATTTTATGCATCATCATTCTCTTCTTTTCATTTCTGGTTTTCTGTCCATCTGTATTCTAGAACTGTTTGTTATTATAAATCCATTACCACTTTATTTTCACAAACAACAAAACTAAATAAAAAAAAGTTGTGCAGTCTGGACTGCACAACATAAATCATTGGATGGAGGGTGGGCCACCTGATTTTGGGAGCTATCCCCTCATTCAATGATTCCTATTTTGCAGTCTGGTACAGTCCAGACTGCAAAGTACAAAACAGGGCACTCAAACGACATTTGGTTTATATTATAATGACAATAATTTGAATTTTAAAGACTATGTTATTCTATGTTGCTGATATCCATATGAACATTATATCGTAGTGGTTTGAAATTTTTTGCCTCTTTTGTTTGTGATATCAGCATCTGCTTTCTCTTTAGCCTCATTAATCCATTCTTCTTTCTTTTTGGATTTATCTAGGATGGTTCCTGCAATGGTTTACAACACTATGCTGCTCTTGGCAGAGACAAGGTAGTAACTCTTTTTTAAAAGGAACATTGAAGTAATTATGTTTTCTGTCTACTTCTGCTAATCATGTGCTTGTTTCCAGTTAGGAGCAGCTTCTGTCAATCTTGTTGCTGGTGAGAAACCTGCAGATGTTTACTCAGGAATAGCTGTCAGGTTAGCTGTTAATATTTTGGTGACAATGAAAACTGTAAAGTAGATCCTTAAGCTTTCTACTACTACTGCTACTTCTTCTTCCTCTCTCTCTCTCTCTCTCTCTCAGCCAAACCTTATTGATATCTACTGTTCTTATCCAGCATTGGTTTTTCTATATAATATTAACAATATACTAACATAAAATGAATGAAACCAAAAATTATAAAGGATCAATGTTGCATCGAGTACATAATTTTCAAAAGAGAGGATATGTTAAATGCTTTCATCCAACTGATGTAATGGAAACTAATTCAATATGTGAAGATCAAACCATACAAAGGGAAGCATTTACCTTGGTGTGTTTCAATCGTTGAAACCTAAATAGATTTAGCATCAAAAACTAATTGTTACCTATGTGATGAGTAAATTGGTTCTCTTTGGCCCTTGATCTCATTTTATTTCTGGGTCACTGATGCTTCATGATATTAGGGACTGTCTGTTTCTTTTCTCTTGACATCTGGTATTTCTGATAGCAAAATGCTTTTAAATGTTTTGACTAAAGATAATTGGAAACGAAACCATATTTTCAATGCAGAGTACTCAATATCATGCAGAGGGATGCAGAGAAGGATCCTGCAGTTTTCCCAGATGCCTTGCGTGCAAAATTATTGATTAATCAGGTTCTCTGTCAACTCTTTTTGGTTTTAACTAGGAGGGGCTTATTTGATGCATATGCTGTTTAGAAAAAGATTGATCTGTTTCGTTATGTCAAAATCATTTGTTAGTTGTTTTGTTCTCGTGTGTTGCAAGTTATGATTGAGGATTTTCTGCACTATTATTCCATTTCATTCTTAGTTGTACTCTTATGACTTGGAATTGATTGTTTGGTTCCTGGTGGCTTGATGTATGATCTAGGTGGATAGGAAACTAGTGAAGCAGACGGTGATGACCTCAGTTTATGGTGTTACTTACATTGGTGCTCGAGACCAAATCAAGAGGAGGTTGAAAGAAAGGGGTTTAATCACAGATGACACAGAGCTTTTTGGTGCATCTTGTTATGCCGCAAAGGTAGAAATATGGTTTATACTACTTTGCCTTCACTCCTATTCACCTAATGGGAGCATGCTATATCAAATCACAAACTCATCTCATACATTTTAGTTTAATCTCCATGTCAAATTTATTGGTTGAGCAGACTACATTAACTGCCTTAGGGGAGATGTTTCAAGCTGCACGTGGTATCATGAATTGGCTAGGTGAATGTGCAAAGGTTAGTCCCTTCTTCCTATTATCACGTTTTCTTTCCAGTTCACTATATGCAGTTCAGTAGATGACATTTCACTTGAAATCTTGAACAGGTCATTGCATCTGAGAATCAGCCAGTTAGGTGGACAACTCCACTTGGGCTTCCTGTTGTGCAACCATACCGGCAATTAGGAAGGCATCTTGTGAGTGTTTTTATTTTTATTTTTATTTTTTATTGTAGAGACATAAAAGATTGAAAATCATTACCAGCTGAACCATGTGCGCAGAAACTAAGACCTTTTAAGATCATTAGCTTCTTTTTTAAAATTGGATGCAGATCAAAACTTCCCTTCAAGTTTTAACATTGCAGCGTGAAACTGAAAAGGTAGTGCTACCTATCTGGGTTGTGGCTTATGCTTTAATATGTCTTGGATATTACCTTCCATTTTTTCTCTCTATTCCACGGCCGTAAGTGCCTATGATCAATATGCGTGGCAGTTTTACCAACACTTGATAAGCTTTCTTGGACCAAATCTATACTAACAAATTTTTTTTTTAGATCATGGTCAAGAGACAGAGGACAGCTTTCCCACCAAATTTTGTTCACTCCCTCGATGGTTCTCACATGATGATGACTGCAGTTACCTGTAAAGAGGCAGGCTTAACCTTCGCAGGTTCTTATGTGGTCTGATTTCCTCATATTTGACTACCTTATTTGCAATTTGAGTTCCTTGTTAATGTAATGCCATATGCTTCCAGGTGTCCATGATTCCTATTGGACGCATGCGCGTGATGTGGATGAAATGAACAGGATACTAAGAGAAAAATTTGTTGAACTCTATGAAACACCGATATTGGAGAATGTAAGAACTTCTTAATCTTTGAAAATCCATATAGAAGAGATGGTACATCTAAGAGCATAATGTTCAATTTGGGTAAAATTACTCCCAACGGGATAAGATCTGTTTTTCGTTGGAAGGTAACATAAAATTACAGTTTATTAGTGTGGTGACAATTTGGTTCGGAGATCATTAGGACCATCCTTGGGTCATTCGTTTTCTGCTTTTAAATTTTTGGGGGTATGTCTCAGACTCCAAGGGGTGACAAAGGGAGTTGAACCTTGGACCTCTCTGTCCCAAATAGAAGGTTAATGTCTACTAGGCTAACATTGGGTGATCTAAAATCCTTGAGGGGGTTTGAGTCTGGGAATACCATTGGTCTGGACTTCATTTAAAACCTAAACTCTCACTATATATTTTCATATAGGTTCTGACTATCTGTTCTTTTCTTTTGCACAGCTGTTGGAAGGCTTTGAGAAGTCATTTCCTACATTAACTTTCCCTCCTTTACCAGAACGGGGAGATTTTGATCTACGAGATGTGCTAGAATCGCCCTATTTCTTCAACTGATCAGTTGCCTCTTGCCAAGGCTTCTCTTCATTTCAGACTAGAGCAACCCAAGACCAGGCCACCTCTTGTTCTTCTCTGCTTGAACGTGTGAGACCCGTAAAGAAAAGCCGAGAGCCGAGAAGTAGTACGAGTTAGATGCTGTGCCCCTCTACACCTAAAGAGGCACCCACAAAGGGAAAGATCTCTTTAGGTGAAGAATCCCTTCAGCTCGATGCTTTGGTCGCACCAATATAGCAAGGGTGATGATATGGAGGACGAATATACGGGACGATTTTACAGGATTAATGACATGACTTGTTGATTTTCTGTCATGTGGGACTCTCTTTAAAGTAATAGTTTGCTGAGATGGCTGTCACCTCATGTTTTGTCCTCTGTTTTCATCTCATTTTATCATCCCAATTATCATTATTCATGTAGCAAACTTGTAAATAATATACTGCTCCAATCTTTTTCCTAAAGTGACACAGCAATCCAGAATCTCCTGACAAAGAGCCGAAAGTTCAGATGAAATGGTGTAATACTTTTTAAATTCCAATGTTATCAGTCATGCATTCCTCTCAAGAAAGCATGGGTTTTTGTTCTAGGATGTTGGCTGATTCAATTTTTATTATTTTTATTTTTTTACTGATCAATGTAAAGAACATATATTGTATGTTCTAGTAGGAAATTTTATTTTCATTTTCATTTTTCAAAACATTGTTGTAGTGGTGCCAACCATGTTGAATTATATCCTATATTTAAGGATTGAATTCTGCACTTGTGTTGTGTAAATTCATATTTCATGCATAAAAAGAAAAATTCAAAGTATTTTTTATGACTCGAGGGATGAAGATACAACCATCTTTTTTTATGAAGATTCAAACAAACAAAATTAAAGTAAAAGTACTCTGATGAACATTCTGACAAAAAATAAGGACAATTCTGGAGATTAACCAAAAAGAATTCATATCGGTGCAGCAGCCAACCAGAGGTGAAACTTGGCTCATCCTCAATCATGGGTTAAACTAATTACAATTATAGTATAAATTAGACCTTAAGCCAACTTCACAATTCGTCTTAATTTTTTAAATATATTCTTAGTAATTATAAAATTTTATAATAATAATCAACTATACATACTTAGTATTCTTTCATAATTAGTCCACTTTGTGCTCCTTACACGGCTCAATGATAACTCATTTTGTTGATTAACTTCTATATTGGCAAAGGGTCGGCCGCTTCTTGCCTTTTTCTTTGGGTGTGAGAGTTGTTCTTGGAGAACTCCCACATATTCATTCCCTTTCATCGTCATGAAAACCTCACACTAATTGTCTATTTAACCAGCACATATTTATGAGCAAGTAGATAAATTAGGCAGTAAGGATTTTCAAGTAGAATTAAATACAAGACTTTAAGATAAATCATTTTCTCTTTTCACAATTATAAAATAGATGATGGTCTAAGTGTATAAGAGACATAAATTGAGACATTTTTATAAATAGTAATTTTAAATGTTTTAATTAAAAAAAAGATTTAAATGGTTAACTATGAAAAAATATTTAAGCATAAAAATTTAATCAAATTAATTTTAAAAAATAAAGAAAAAATGTGTAATTTAATAAAGAAATTAAG